TGCGGCGTCCCCTCGCCGGGCCGCGCCCTCCGCAGCAGCGGTGCCGCCTCGTCGTCGTCCCCGTCGCGGCCGGACCACGACACCTTCTTGGCGACGTTGGCCATGGCCCGCCGCAGATGGGAGCCGGCCGGGAAGCGCCGTCAGGAACTGTTTGTTCTCGTGACCCGCGCCAGCCCACGTGACCCGGGCTCCGCTCACGTGACCCGAGCTCACCCACGTGACGGCGACGGCGGCCGGCGAGGCTGCGCGCGCGGGGGCTTGTGGAAGCCTCGGAGCCGGCCTGGGGGGGCGCGGGTGTGGGGGACGAGGACAGCGACGGCATACCCAGGCGCCCAGGGTCGTTTCCGCAGGTTTCCTGCAAAAATGCTAAGCTGTCCACCTAAGGGGCGACATCTAAATAAACCCGCGTTGAGCGACACCCTGCTGACCACCTGGGCGGTCCTTTTCCATCACGTCCTAAGTGTCCTGAAAGACCAAGGAAGGCTGAGGAACCGTCCTCAATTAGAGCAGACCTTAGAGCGCGGCGCTGCATCGCCAGCGTCAAGGGCTCGTCCACGGCAGGCCACCAAAAATAAATACATAAAGAAAGGTGACAACGTCAACGCACCACATGGGGCTGGCGTTATTGGGACAATCGCCAAAGACTGAATATAGGCTGTGCGAGATAGTAGTGTTAGAGCAATGTTAAATTTCCCCAGGGTGACGGTTGTATTGGGGTTACGTCAAAAAAGGTCCTTGTTCTTGGAAGAAACATACTGAGATATTTAGGAGGACCGGTTGTTATGTCTGCAACTTATTCTCAGACATTAAAAATCTAAACATAATTGTATATGTTTATATACATATGTTTATATACGTATGTTTATAAACATGTTTGTAAACATACCTGTAGAGAAAGAAGGAAAATGCGGCAGGATGTTAACACTGGGCCTTTTCGTGCTCTGAGCAGCACCATGGCAATTGGCAAGATCAAGCACCTTACAAAAGGTGGCAGAAAGGGAACCAAGAAGAAAGTGCTTTGTCCATTTTCTGAGACAGATCAGTATGATGTAAAAGCACCAGCTATGTTCAACACGAGAAATGTTGGGAAAGCACAGGTCATAAGGGCGCAAGAAAACAAAATTACATCCAATGGCCTCAAGGACCGTGTTTTTGAATTGAATGTTGCTGGTCTGCAGCATGAGAAAGTTGCATTTAGAAAATTCAAGCTAGGGCTCACTCGGGAGAGTGCGGTGCTGATAACACCAAGGCCACACGTTCGGATCCCATATAGGGATGGCCGGTTTGCTCACTGGGTGAGCGTGGTGCTGACAACACCAAGTCAAGGGTTAAGATTCCCTTACCGGTCATCTTTTAAAAAGAAAAGAAAAGAAAAGAAAATTCAAGCTAATGACTGAAGACGTTTGGGGCAAAACGACCTGTGTAACTTCCATGGTATGAATCTTGCCCAGGACAAAATATGCTTCACACTCAAAACCAGGCATGATTGAAGCACTTGTGGATATTGAGACTATTAAACAGATTTGTTTAATTTGTTCTGTGTTGGTTTAACTGAAAAATGTAGCAAATTAGGTTGGGAAGGCCTCTTATGCTCAGCACCAACAGGTCTGCCTAATCCAGAAGAAAATGATGGAAATAATGACTGGAGAGGTGCAGACAATTGCCTTGAAAGAACTGGCCAATGAACTGATTTTACACAGCACTGGAGAGACATAGGAAAAGCTCACTAGTCTAATTAACCTCTTCATGATGACTTCACTGGAAAAGTAAAAATACTGCAGAAGCCCAAGTTTGAATTGGGATAACACATGGAGCTGCCTGGTGAAGGTGGAAGCTCTGGAAAAGCTAGCAAGGATGAGACAGCTGCTAAACGTGAACGAGATGATGGGTATAAGCTTCCCCGTGCAAGAATCTATTTAAAATTCAGATTTTTGGTGGTGACAAATGAAATGTCTTATTTGTTAAAAACAACAACAAAGAAACAAAACACTGATGACTCTGGGATAAATATATAGGATGTGCAGTGCACTCGTCTTGCAACTCTTTTTAGGTTTGAAATTTCTCCAAATCAAAATATATATATATATTTTTAAAAGATGACCGGTAAGGGGATCTTAACCCTTGACTTGGTGTTGTCATCACCACGCTCAGCCAGTGAGCGAACCGGCCATCCCTATGTGGGATCCGACCCCGTGGCCTTGGTGTTATCAGCACCGCACTCTACCGAGTGAGCCATGGGCCGGCCTCAGACTTTGTTTCTTTAAACTGCGTTTATTATGTCCATCATATCGTAATAACTTCGTATAGCATACATTATACGTATATTTTTAAAAGATGACCGGTAAGGGGATCTTAACCCTTGACTTGGTGTTGTCATCACCACGCTCAGCCAGTGAGCGAACCGGCCATCCCTATGTGGGATCCGAACCCGTGGCCTTGGTGTTATCAGCACCGCACTCTCCCGAGTGAGCCACGGGCCAGCCCAAATCAAAATATTTTAAAAGTTCTTTAGAGCCTCTAAGGCTGAGAAGATAGTGGAACACCTCCCCCTTGATATAATTCAAAATAAAAGCAAAACTAAAACCAAAATAATGGGAAGGAAGTCCAATAGGGTTTTGAAGTTTCCCCATGATTATTCTGCAATATTTTTTTTCAAAATACCAAGAACAACATTCTTTCACAAAAAAAGGTGTTTTCCTCATTGGTGTGCTGCAGCTTTGCCTCTTTGAGGGATAGTACATTGCTTGTACATGAGAGTATCAAGGCTAAGAAGCGAACTAACTTTACAAGATCCCAGGAGCAGCAGGAGTTGAACCTGGGTTGGTTTGATTTCAAACCTCTTGCTCTGAACTACTTTGAGACCAGGGTGGGCAGTGAGCCTACCAGGGGTTCGGAGGCAGAACAGGCCCGTCCAAGTCCTGGCATACTGCAGGCAGGCAGGGAACTGCTGACTGAACTGAATGAACGGGCTTGGGTCTTGCTAGATGAGTTGGGCTTGGGTGGAGATGTCCAGATGGGCAGAGGAGACGCTGGTGGGGCACAGCAGGGTGCGTGTGAGGGGACGTGATGATAACAGTCCCTGGGTCCTGGGGTGAAGGGGTCCCTGAGGAGGGTGGGTGATCTCTGTGGCCAAGTGGGGTGGAGCCAGGTCCCAAAGGCTGTCCCTGTCAGACCAGGGGCCTGAACTTGTCCTCTTCTGGGACAGGTGGCTGTTTCAGAAGATGAATAGGCTGTGGGTGGCCAGGTGGGGCTAGCGGCTCCTTGTTGGGACAGACTCCCAGAGCAAACGAGGGCCACTCTGGACAAACAAGGGCCACTCTGGCTGGAAATGTGAGACTCAGGTCAACGGTAGGATTGGTTGGTGGTGGTAGAGGTGCCCATGGTTCACACCTTGCAACAGACACGTAACTATGTTGCCGGCCCCAGCAGGGACAGTGAGTCATGTGATGTCTGCTCAGATGGTCCTCTAAACCCTGTTCCTATGTCCTGCCCAGCCCGAGTCCCACCGATCCCTGAGCTCCCCCAACGCAGTCTCAATGCTACTCCCAGCACTGCTAACTGACCCCCAACTCCAAGCCCCTGCTTCCACCCAGAGTGGCCTCCTCCCAGTGAAGCATCCCGAGTGCAGCAGCCCACAGTGACACTTGCCTCTGCCGAGTTCCTGAGACTGAGTCTATGGACACGTAGCCAAATGCTGCTGTGGCCAGGGTGACTTCTTGGTCACCATACGGCATTATACACATCCAAGAGCTGGGAGGTGGGTGGAGAACAGTGCCCTGTGCGGACTTTTCCTGCCCCACTTCTGAGCCCGTGGGCAAAGGGGCTCGTTGCGTCCTCATCTCAGCCGGGATTGAGAGCAAGAGTTTTGAAATCAAACCATCTGAGCTGCAGCTCCTGCCTGCTCCTGGGGCACCTATGCTAGGGGCTGTCAAAAGACAAACTACAACAAATTTAAAGATCTCAGTGGGCTTTATTGCAATTCTAGAATCGGGCAACAGTTCATTAAGTAGAATAAGTGTTCCAATGAGCTGAGCAGAGGAGTTTGGCTGAAGAAAGCAGAAACAAAAAAAAGCGGACAGGTCATTTCAAAATTACTTTCCTATAAGGTGGAGACAGGTAGAAAAATGGTAAACATCAGGTTACTTCAGGTTAAGTATTAAAACAGAGGTAACATCATTATCATGAAGATTGAAACTGGCCTGTGCAGCAAATTAGGCTGTCATCTCTCTCTCCTGATATCTCAGTTTTGGCTTGGTGACCTGGAACTTTAGCTGGGGTGACTTCATTCTGATTTTTAGCCTGGTCTGTTGGGGACTAGTGCAGGAGCTTAGTTCAAAGGAATGGCCTCCTTTAGTTTTTGTTTAACAGGACCTATCTGTCCCTCGAGAAATATCCGCTCATCGATTTACCAATCTTTCCAAAAGAAAGATGTCGTATTGCTCCCTCCTCAAAGCCAGAATAGGATGGAGCAAGAGAGTTTCAGAAAACACCAGGAGACTGGGGAGGAAGGATGTTTGAGAAAGAAGCACTACACATAAGATGAGGCATATCCTGGGGAAGCAGAAGCCAGTGACTCAGGGAGCCTGTCACATGGGCACCCTCGAGGGTTTCCAGTTCTAAAATATCTTCTCTGACCTTGATTCATGGCTGGGCTGATGCTGAGCTGAAGGCCCAGTGTCATGGGTACACAGATCATTCTGGAGGGATGCTGCCAGGAGACTAACTCAAGGCACTAACTTAGGGCACCTCCCCCACTGGAGGTGTGTCCGTGCCGCCAGAGGCTAGCCCAGGCTGCTGCAGAGCTGAAACCACCTGTGTGTGGGGTCGGGGGGGGGGGGGGGGGGGGG